TTTGAGACTTTAGTCTTTGCAACTTTAGGGATCGTATCTATTCACGAACAGCTTGTAGCACTCCAAAGAGAAAGGAAAACTTGAAATCGCATTATATGAACTAGGGCTGGGCGATTTGGCAAAAAAATAAAATCTCGAACTCTACACTGCTCAAAACTCACGTTTGAATCCTCAGTGGCAAATCCTTTAAATATGAAAGTGTACTTACAGGCTTTGAGCCAGCATTATTTGTCAGAACACCAGCATTGTAGGCTATACTCTCCCAGGAAACAGTCCTCATCCTCCATAAAATGCGTTGCTCACATCTGAATATTTGGGTTGAACTGTTCTGGAACAGTGTTGTAAATACAACTTAACCACTGATTTTTAGTCGTGTCCTCTTTTGGAAGACCAAACAAAGTAGTTTCGCTTTCATAACGAAACACAGCGTCTCCACGTCGTGTGTAAACATGGATGTGTTTGACTGTTGCGCTCGCGTCTCTTGCAGTGTCTCATGCATGAAACGCCATTCTAAAAACACTGCGCTCAAGTTAAAAGAAGTTCACTCCCATCTTCTTGCATGTTTTACCTATTCCACTGCCCGCGTCGCATCTTTGGCAACACAAAAGTGCATTCTGTGTGAATGGCGCTTAGCGCTATATTTATGGTCCTTCACAGAGCGCGTCACACGTGAGTGGTTAATCACGTGCGCCGACATGCGGTTGAATCGTTCTTTTCTCTTTACTGTTAACACCGGCATTTTGTCAAAGTGTCTAATTCTAACATTTGGTAATATTTCTATTCAAAATCGTGATTCCTCGATTTCTAAAAAATAAAATCGTGGCAAAACAATAAATTCGAATTAATCGATTAAATCAGGAAAATCTCCCAGCCCTAATATGAACCCTTTAATAGTTAGAGTTTTTATTTTAATGTTTTTATTTTAATTTTAGTTAAAATTTTAGTAATTTTTATTAGTTTTTGTTTTTAAAATATGCCTATTTTTTTTTTTTTATTACAGTTTTAGTTTTATATATTTTGGTACATTAACTTAAACTTGGCAACTAAATAAAATAAAATAAAATAAATTTTTTCAGGTATTTTTTTTCAGGTAATTATTTTATTTCTAGTAACAATTTATTTATTTGTATCATTACTTTTTAATGGTTGTAGTTTTAAGTTAACTATAATAACCCTGCTTTGGTTACAGTTAGAACTACTGCATCACGTTTTCCAAAGAAAAAGGAAAAAAAAAATCACAAACTAAACAGACTAAACCACATTACAAACACACACCTCATTGTCTTCACAACACAACATTACTCTTGCCCTGTAATTGTGACACGTCTCCTGGTTTCCCCCGAAATACACACATACACACAGGCATGATGTCACACAGGAGATGTGGAGAGGTCAACCTTCACAGACATGCAGGGAAGGTTTGTGGGGGAAGTAAGAGGATTTAGGACTGAGGGGCACAAGAGGGGGCACAAGAAAATCTCAAAACAATGGTGCAAAGCAGAAACAGAGAGCAAAAGAAAGAGGGGTTGGGGTCAAGGGATGCAGAGGATACAGGATGCCCAACAGATGGGCAGTGAAAAGAAAAGACAGACAGATGAAGAAGAACAGATGAGAAACAAAAAGGTGGAGAGACAAACTTTGCTGACACACAAAGATCTAAACCTTACAAAGTCTCCACGTCTGGCAGAAAGTCTTCCTTTGGAGATGCTAGCAAGTATTTTAAACTGATTGTGTTTAGGGTTGGCTATCGAGAACTGGTTCCAAATTTCCAAAACTGGAGGATTTGATAAGACAAGCAATTACAATTCAGCTTATCGACTCATGTGTGTGCATTTTATTGTGATTTTCAACCATTTAAGCATAAGAAGATGCAAAAGGAAACTCAATCTGGCACTTGCCCGCATTTTCTCCAAAGCATGCGCACAAAAAGCAGCTTCATAAAGTGCATGAATTCTGAACTTTCTTTCGCATCGTCTTGTACTTAGACAAATACACAGAATTACGTTAAAATATCCTTGTAAACACAGTAGGTTTTGTCTTAAGTGAACGCAAGCAGCATTTAAACTGAAAATTCATGTGTAGAATTATATTGAATCGGTGCATTAGGTCTTAAAGTGACAGCAGCGTAATATTCCTGCAGTTGTTTGCGCCATTAATGTTTATCAAAGAACAAAAGAAAAAGAAAACTCACTGATCTTGACTGAATAACTTTTATAACTTCAATAGGGATAAATCTATATTTCATTTCTAAATAAACAATAGTGTTATTTTAAATTTGATTTATACTTCTGTACCTGAACTTTGTTCAGTTGTATTTATTTGTGCTGTTGCTAATTCGTTTATTTGCTTTTATTTTGTTACTGACCGTTTACTTGTTTTTAATGATGTTTGAAATCTATATTAGTTAGTCTAGTTGTTTTTGCTGTGGCATTATTGGTAAAACAATAAGCAAAAGTTCATTATGCAAGTATTCTTCAGGCTGTTGATTTTTTTATGGTATTCAGCAGCAACAGAATGTTTTGCAAAAAAAAAAAAACAGACTAAATATGCTTGATATCTAAATGTTTAACTTCATTTTCTATACCTTATTGGAATCTAAACTGGTAATTGTGAAGAATCATAATCTCCAAGCAGAATCAGAATCGCCAAAATACAAGCCCAACCATAATTGTGTCACGTTATTGCTTAATATTGCTTACTTAAGTTTGTTAGCCACTACCCTTACCAAACTACTTTCCAAAAACCCAACCGAAACCAGGTTGAAGGTCAGATCAGATCCTCCTCTAAAAACCCATTGAGTCAACCGCAAGTTAAGCCAAGTGCCAGTCGCTCTCCCACATTCTCCACCAAATCACAATCGATCAATTACATCATTAGCCAGGCATTTTCAGGCTGATCTGGCATCCTGAAGCAAGCCTGTTGAACTCTGGATAACCTGCTGACTTAGCATATGCGGACCAAAAACAGTCAGGGAGGGGTTGCTTGGGCTGCGGCACGGGATTGGTTGAGAGAAAAATCAGGGTGGAGATGAACTAAGGTACTGTGCCAACTAGGTCTGGGTGGTTTGAAAAGTCGATCAGTAGATATATTGCTGTATGGTTTATTATGTGTTTATATAGCTATAAGTGCAGAGAACTACTTTATATTATTTACACATGAACAAGATTGAGGTAAAATGAGGTAAAAGCGGGAAGAAATACAAGTCAAGATGAGGAAAAACGTATTAACTTTAGAATGTTTCATTGAATTTTATGACTAAAATTATTGTGGTTTATCTCCAAACTCTAGTGCCAATGGTAGTGGATGGTCCTGGCATCCTGATATATGTAGATAATGTGTGCACAAATTGGTAGAAGAGGCTATTGTTGGAAGAGAACTACAGTAGAAGTTTCTGGAATCTGGCCGACGTCCACAATAAATAGCAATAATTAGTCTTTTTGGCTCTTTTAAGTGTCAGCGCTTTGTACTTTGTCCAGCTCAGAAATGCAGGCCAGTTCAGACTGGCGCAACTTTCATTGACCTGTTCGAGGGGTCAGCGAGACTCCTATTCCGGCACAGGGAAAACATTTTCTCTCTCCTGACCTTCTTTTTCTCATCTTGTCATTTTCATAGACTTCCCAGGTAGGTTAGTCTGACATTAAAGTGAAAAACAACAGCATTATGCCTTCCTCTGCCTCTTTTCTCTCCTGCTTTCTCTGCGATGAGAGTATTAGACTGAGCCAGACACAAAAGGGCTTTACGGCCATGCAATAAAACAGAAAAGAAAAACAGAGACCTTCTGAAAGACTGCTTTTACTTAACCCAGAACAGGGACCCTAAATAGGGAGCATGTATATGTGTGTGAGAGCCTGGCGTGTCAGCGTTTTGTACATGTGTGCATGTTCTTGGGCGTGTGCATGCAAAAATATAGTTTGGTTCTGAGGTTTAGATGGGGCAGTTCTACTCAAACAATAAACTAGTGCAGACAGCTGTGAATTAAAAAGGCAGTTCCCCCCAAAAAATGAAAATTAAGCCTTCCAAGTATTTTAAAGCTGCATTATAGCTTAGACACGTGTACAATACAAACAAGAACACCATATATGGCTTTAGAAGACTTGAAATATAGCTCGCATGTTATATGGAAGAGAAAAAATAAGTGGTCAATCAATACTAATTTTTAATGACTGGCAATGATTTGATAATATTTTAGTTTATCAAGGATGTATTAAATTCTTTAAAAGTGACAGTAAAGTCATTTTAAAGTTTTCTCTTTCATTTATTCTTTTCATATTTCTCATTTATCATCTAAGAAAACATATTTTTCACAAAGATATGAAGGTATATATAAGCACAACTGCTTTCAACATTGACAAAACAGTGTCGCGTTCCGAACGTTGTTTTAATGACATGCACCGGTATTGCGGTATTTAAAAAATTCATATCATAACAAAAATAAACACCGGTATTCAGTATGAACCGGTATACCGCCCAGCACTAATCTAAACACATGTAAACAGCACTCACCTACTACATCCAGCGTGTAGGTGTGATTGATGGATCCGTAGGCGTTCTCCAACATGCAGGTGTAGTTTCCTTTATCAGAGGGAACGACGCTCTCCATGATTAGAGTCCAGTGCTGGAGTCGGAGCTGAACGGGGCAAATAAAAAACAAACTTAGTACAACAGAACACATTCAGAATAGTTTAGTCACTTGTTTATGCAATGTTCCCAGTTAACATAACCAAACACAGGTGGTTGTTTTTGTTATTCTCGAATTCATCTCAAATAAAACTCCAGGTTTAGTCAAGCGTCTATTATCCTTCATTTCACACCTGTGTGTGACGTCTTACAAAATGAAGGGCAAACTGACAGCAGCACTGACCGAACTAACAAGAGAGAGAGAAATTGGCCTAGAAGACGAGGGTTTTTCGAGCAAGAGCACCATGGGAAAAGTAATATCGCCGTGCCGACAGACGAGCGAGCTCCCGCCCCCACCCCAGGAATGCAGCTCTCGTGACTGCAGGCCACAAAATCCAGCGTCTCTTCCATGGAGACTTTCACTCCACAACCCTCGGCCTTCTGAGACCCTTCAAATGACCACAAAATAAGGGTTCATCCACCTGAGGCACATGTTATCCATAAACCATAATCTCGCTTATTTTATGAAACATTTTGGGCTTATTCTGACTAAATGAGATATTTTTCATGAAGATTTGTATTGTATATTCTAAAATGCAACAATAATCATGGTTACAATAGTTAGGCTTCACTAAAACTAAAACCGGAAAAATACACTTTTGTTAAAATTTAAAACATGAAATGTGTGTCAATTGAAATATAATAAAATAAAATAAAATAACTTTTTTTTCAACTAGTTTTCAAGGCAACAATTATAATTTTCGATTTGTTTATCTTCAAACTAAAACTGAAATAAAATAAATAAAAACTATATAGATACATTTAAAAGCTAAAACTAATAAAATGATAAAAACACAACACAATTACTAAAACTTTAACTAAAATGAACATGAAAGCAGAAACTATAAAACTAAAATCTAATTCAAAATATTAACAAAAACTATAAAAGTACCTCAATAAAACTAAAATAACAGGTCATAATCTGATGCTTATCTTTGATGACATATTCATTTTTTATGTTTAAAAAGCATATATGTGACCCTGGAGCACAAAAGCAGTCTTAAGTCGCTGGGGTATATTTGTAGCAACAGCCAAAAATACATTGTATGGGTCAAAATTATTGATTTTTCTTTTAAGCCAAAAATCATTAGGATATTAAGTAAAGATCATGTTCCATGAAGATATTTTGTAAATTTCCTACTGTAAATATATTCAAACTTAATTTTTTATTAGCAATATGCATTGCTAAGAACTTCATTTGGACAACTTTAAAGGCGATTTTCTCAATATTTTGATTTTTGGCACCCTCAGATTCCAGATTTTCAAATAGTTGCATCTCGGCCAAATATTGTCCTATCCTAACAAACCGTACATCAATGGAAATCTTATTTATTCCGACATTTCAAAAAATTGACCCTTATGACTGGTTTTGTGGTCCAGGGTCACATATTTTAAAAGTTATTATTGTTATTATAACTTTTAAAATACAATCAAAATTAAAATTAAATCACATTTTATCTTTAATAAACCAAATGTTTTCATTAGTTGTTAGTTGTCATGAGTTTTATTAAAATGTTTCATCTGATCATTTAAGGTTCTTCAGAAAACATCATCAATAATAATAATAATAATAATAATAATAATAATAAATAATTCATAATTAAATAGTTCATAATAAATGGTCATTTGAGTCTGGACTATCAAATGAACCAGTTCATGGTCCTGTAGTCAGACACTGAGTCATATCTGAGTCTTCAGATCAATCGAGCGTGAGCAGCTCAATCATTAGTGACCTTCTGTGTGGATCAGCTGTGTTTTCAGAGAAGGAAGTGCAAACACTGATCGGGGTACAACGACCAATCGCCCCGCACATCTATTACACTTTAACCAAGAGTCAGTGCTTCACCAGCTGTTTCATGCCTACAATTCTGACTCTGCATGTATCAATAAAATACTTCAATGTAACTATTTTGCTTTCTAAAAAGCTTTTTGTTTTGGCTCTAGTTTTTAAGCATTAATAAATTTACCATGATGAGTTCCATATCCTCATACAGTGCTTGTGAAGCTCTCTTACCTTGTAACCGCCCATGCGATCCTCCTGTTTGAAGGGTTTTCCGTTTTTTTGCCAGCGCATTTCAGGCTTGGGATTTCCCGCCGCTGCGCACCGAAACTTCACAGTGTTGGCAGCAGGTACGGCGTGCAGCTTCTTCTCCATCTTCTCCGGTGAAGTCCAATATGGCGCCACTGCAGGAAAGAAGAAGCAATTACAAACATTTGCATCATCCAAATATCAACAAGAACCACATATTTGCAGTGCACTATATATATTTCTTTGATGTGTCAAAGCCTTTAAGATTACATGCAGCTTTGATATGCATCACGTAAAACCTCCATGCAAACTGGAGTTTTTTTTTTTATCTACGCCTCCACTCTTATCTGCTTTCAGCCGTTCATAGATCAGCCCCTGACATCTACCGTGTGTTTTCTATATCTATGTTTATGGAAAAACTTCAAAGCCAGAAACAGTAGCTTTTGGATTGTACAGTAGATGAATCAGCTTGGATTGTACAGTACACTGAAGATGAATCACTAAGCATGATTTTCAGTTCAGAAGATCGGCATTAGTCATATAACAAATAAATTCAAAATCAAAATTGCAATATGACCTTGTGCGACTGCTAAATCAATCAGCGATTTAAAAAAATTGCAATTTATTTAAATAAATATTACAACTATTGTACTATGAAAAGTTCATTTTGGCCTTATGTGTCTGTGCAGTGAATGCAGTGTTGTTATTGTAAAACAATTAAAACTGTTTGTGTTCATTGAAATAGCATTCCATTAAAAATTTTATTAAATAAGTGGACAAAAAACTTCGAAATTACAAAAAGGCTTGCAACAAAAATCTAATTAAAAATATGTATATAAAATGTATAACTTCAACTAAAATTAAAATGAAAACTGAATACAGCACATAAAAAATGCCAAAGGACACTGATTCAATGACACAAAGAAATTCAATGAAATGGCCAATCAATCCGAGGTCCATTTTGATTCAACCCCAATATCCCAAAAGAAATGCATCATTGCCAAGAGAGAGAAAGCAGGAGCCTGTCTGAAACTCAGCAAGGGGAAACAGGAAGGCATGACCACGGATGCAAATCGAAACAGTTATTCACACTCGCAGCACTGCATGACTGCACCGCCCATCTGCTTAATGGAACCCTGCAACTCACAGTGAGCGGCTTAAATAAAAACATATTCCCATTTGCTCTGAAAACACACAAGAGAAAAGAAGGATAAAACAAGTCGGTCCAAAAGCACAGCGGCTTGCCAAGAAGGAACTGGACCATCACATCCAATTTCTTTTGTTCGACAGACATGCTAACCGGAAGGTTGCAAACGACTTGATATCAGACGTGTAAACAGACATCTTCCCTTCAGCGTGAAGGCATGATAATTGGTTTTCAACTTAACCCTTTTCTTCGACGTCTATCTGTCCGTCTGTTTTCTTTCCTCACCACCCAACTTTTTCATCTCACCTCGTGGGAATTCTTTCGTAACGGTCGTTCTCTTTGACCTCAACGCCCTGACGGACAGCAGACTACATGTCTGTAAGCCCGACTCCTTTTAACTTTGTTAACGGTTCAGGTTTTCGTTGAGAAAACGAAGATGGGAATGACCCTCAGACGTTGGGGCAGTAGGGTCGGATGTCCTGGGAAACCCCAAAACAGGTGACCTCCAGTGAAACATGGACTGACCATTGAACCTTTATTGACATTTTTCTTCAAAAACTCTGTTTTTCATCAACAAATACCACCGGTATCTGCAAAAATCTATCAGTAAACAGAAACACTGAGACATCCCAGCAGCCAATTCCATCAAATTACACAGAGAAAGAAAAAACATGCAAACCAGACCTTTAGACTTTAAACAATCCCAGTGTTGTCTACTCCAGCACATCTCATACGAAGGCAAAACATCTCACAAATAAAGGAAACTTTCTCGTGAGAGGGGGGAAAAAATTGGTGTTTTTGAGAGTGCGGTTGTTGAGGCCCCTTTGCACAGAAATATCAAAGAGTTCTGAGTGGTTCAGCTGGGCAGAAATCCAACCCACTGAGCCCGAAACCGCCCCAAGCACAATGCTAAACACCCCTCCATCCCAACCCCGATCCCCCCACACCCGCCTCAGCTCCACTCGTACGCGGCCAAAGGCCAGACCTCCAAAGCATACACAGAAAAGTGTTGGTGCAGATCCAAACCAGAGCCCATTAGCTGGAAGACCTCGCTCCACCCCTCTTTCCAACAACTCTCTTTAATATTTAGTTTTGCACAACTCAAAACAGATTCTGGTGGGTATGGCGCTCGTTTCAACAGAGGAAATGCAGTCAATATCCTTTCCTCACCTGTCACGGCTTCTCTTTCGCATAAAGTTCTCGAAAATGTGAAACGATTAGGGTTAACCATGACAAAAAAAAAACATATATTTCTGAAAGAATGAGTCCTGAAACTGGAAATAAGTTGGCATTTTTTATCTTACTAATCCATCGTCCCAAAGTCAATGGGTTTTTGGCCTGAAATAAGGTCTGTGGTTAAAGGGATAGTTCACCCAAAAATGAAAATTCTGTCATTAATTACTCACCCTCATGTCATTTCAAACCCGTAAGACCTTTGTTCATCTTCGGAACACAAATTAAGATAATTTTGATGGAATCTGAGAGCTGTCTGACCCTGCATAGACAGCAATACAACTGAAATTTTCCAGAGTCCAGAAACGTAGCAAGGAGATCTGTAAAATAATCCATGTGACATCAGTGGTTCATCCGCAATTATACGAAGCTACGAGAATACTTTTTGTGCGCATAAAATACATCAGTAATACCCCACACGTGATTTTTTAAAGCTTTTATGCATCTTGAAAACGGTGAACAGGTGACTACAGAATGTGACTACAGAAGTTGTTGGATACATTAAACATTATTATGTTGAACTCATGAACTCACTAGTCGCTTTTACAGCTTTGTTGTGTTTATAATCACGCTCTCGCAAACTATTCTAATTCTAACTTTGCAACTAGTAGATTTTAAAGGACTTAAAGAGTTGTTGGAAGTGTAGTGGTGGTGACGATAAAGTCGTGCGACTGGTGTAGTTTGTTTGTAGAGTAGCTTTAGCTTTTTACCTCTGGCCATTGTATTTAGGCTTCAAAATTAATATGAGTTGTGTTCATTTGTGAAGATTATCATGATGGAAAAAACATGGAAGAATCATAAACTTTTTTTGGTCACACAGCTTATTTTCTGCAATAATCCAGTAGCCAATGGAAAAATCCTTGGCTTTTTGTCGAGGCAACCAGTTAACTTTAGGGGTTTGCCTACAAAAATACGTCACCCTTGCAGTACTCTATTTATTAACAAGATGTTTAATGCCCTTTGAATTTCTCCTTTTTCTATATTTCGTTAATATTTCACCTCAGGTCTTTCCCTTTTACCATTCTCAGAGCGAAGCCCAATTCAAAACACTCTTAGCAGGTTTTTACAGACAGGCCTCTCATGGACCTGAGAAATGGAGAGCACAAAGACACAAAGAAGGAAAGAGAATGCCTGGAATTCTGGGAATGTGTCTGTGCTGGAATTGCTTGGTGACATAGTTAACATCAGACTCCACTGCAGGCTTGTCCTGTCAGTAACAAAAATAGCAAAAAACAATACCTATGCTAATATAAAAACAGTATGCCAACCGTGTTGCATCTAAATTCAACATCGGAAATACAAGTGCATTTCACGTGGTACTCTGTGACAACTGGTGTTCGGCCCCCGGTCCCGATACTCACGCATTTGCTCGCCGTCCACCCCAACATCGTCCGATCGCTCCGTGTCGTCCTCATCGTCACCGGATGAGATGGCATCTGCAGAGAGTATCGGGAATACTGTAACCGTGCTTTGTTTCTCCTGCCGTCACAACACCCACACGTCTATCACTAATCAACTATTTGCTCTTTTTGACATTAATATAGTAATAACAGTGCTGAACACAGCTCATCCAATCAGAAGTTTAAGTACAATTTTAGAGTGCATTTTGAAAAATAGTATTACTTTTACTATTTGGAGTCTTTATTTTTTAACTCAAGTCTTAAACATGTGAACCTAAAACCTAACTGATGCCATAATTTGTCATTCATTTGTTATGAATAATCATTGTGTCCATGCAAATTCAAAGAAAAATAAAGGAGATGAAGAACTTTTCGTTCATAATTACTGAATTTAATTTAATTTAACTGACTGACTGAATAAAATATTTATTGATAAATATATTTATATAATTAATTTAGAAACTAATATTTTGTGTGTGTGCATATATACATATATTTTTCGAAATATACATTTATTTATTAAAAAAAATATACACATATATATAAAAAATTTATATATAGAAATGTGAATATTTTTTTAAATAAATAAATGTATATTTCGAAAACAATCTATAGCAAAAATAATTGTAATATGTCATTTAATGTTACTGTGAGATAAGATTGTGTCCAATAGCCTAGAGCAACTATGAATGCTAGCTAGAAAACTGTCAAAAAGATGAAAAATTTAGAAAATATTTTAATGTGACGTGTTAAATCAGACAAAATGTCTGTATAATACAATGACAAAAAGTGTAAGACATAAGCTAACATCAGGCATATCAACTAAACTAATCTTAATACTCAATTTACAGAGCCAACGAATGTTATAAAAACAATACAAACAAATGTCAAACTCAAGACGTAAATCCGAATGCTGCATGCAAAGTCATTTTAAAGACTACATCTTCCACTGCATTGCAAACTGTAAACATGCAATGAAAACAGACAAACAGAACCATTCAGTTCAGGCAGATACGGCGTGCGAAGACTCATCTACGAATATCAAAGTCTCATTCAGTAGATGGTGCCACCTGTGGTAGACAAGCGTCTCACCTGTAACGTTTACGATGAAGCAAAGCGTGTCGCTGGCCCGGGAGCCCGCGGCACTGCACGCATACAGGCCCGAGTCCTTAGGGGTGGCGTCGCGGATCTGTAGCCACTCCTGATCTATGAGCGTGCGGTTATCAGGGCCCAGCGAGGAGCCGTCTTTGGTCCAGACGATGGCGGTCGCCTCGGGCAGCGGGCAGTTGAGCTTGAGCAGTTCACCCGGGTGCACCGAGCACAGGGTGGGCTTAGAGTTTTGGTTTTTGGTTGGAGGCTCTGCAGAGCGAAGGGGAAAAGAGAGGAGGGCAGGAGGAAAGGGGTGACAGGGTGCACAGAGAAAGAGAAAGAGTGTAAGACGAAAAACACTGCACCAAAATGACATCCCTAGAGTGACTAGTGTGGAGAAGAGGCTTCAATTAAATGAATAGTTCACCCAAAAGTCAAAAAATCCCAAAATACAGACACCTCAGAGCGTCCCATTAGCTGTGAATTGTGTATACAGAGCATTTCTGGAAGCATGCAGCTGTACCAGTGGGAAAAAAGTGTGGCGTTAGCAGTGCGCTGACATGAAAGAGGTGCCAGTCGAGAAATAGAGCTCAATATTTGTTCATTTCATAAACAGAGCCTTCGGTTTTCTTTTCCCTGTCATTTCAACCTCGACCTCGCGCATTAGAATTAAGCCTGTTGTTGCCGGTTTATTCCATTATCTTTAATTATGCTCTACAACGACTTTATTGGCTAGCCAAACGCTCATAAGGAATGCCAAGAAGGTGCCAAAGTGAGGCACCTAAAACAGAAAAATCAAAGGCTTGATTACAGATTGAAATAAGGTGGAGCAAAAAATCCAGTGTAAAATGCTGGAGTGCACAACAATAACGCTTTCCATATAGTGTCAGTACAAATATCTACAAATATTTAGTTAATTTTGCATAATATTCTATGAAATCATGTTTTATATATTCAATTATACATATAACATATACTTATATGTAATTAGAAATATATTGAAAACATTGTTTACATATGGATATAATATATATATATATATATATATATATAT